CCCAGAGAACCCACAGGCCCCACGTCTCCCTGCTGTCACCTGGATCCTCTGCCTCCTTGGTACCCGCCTTCCTTGCTGGGAGACTCTCGGTTTACCAGGGACTGGGCTGCAGACATGCGGCTCTCAGCGGACTTGAAGTGGGGAAAGCTTCCACGGACCCCAGGATAGCACACGCCACACGCCATGCTCTGTCTTCTGACCAAGACCCCCTCCCCAGCTTACCAAGGGTCTTTGAATTGATGTCTCATCTCACACAAGGCCTCACTTCCCTCTTCCATTCTAAGCTGCTGGGCTTCTCACGGCATTCGGCTCACAGCAGGTTTAGAGGAGCAAATACTGAAGATCAGTGTCTGTTCAGCACGCCGTGTGTTTTGATCAGTGTAGAAGCTGTAGAAGATGGTTCTTGCGGCTTATGAGAGCTTTGTAGACTCAGAATAGAACTCCTGCCCTCCCTCTGTGATGAGTGGTTTTCTTTTGCCAGGGTCTTCTGTGCATTGCATTTGCTGTGAGTCCATGAAAGTAAAGGTCAACACCCGTGTCATACTGAGTAGGGAAAATGGATTTTAATGTCTCACAGTCTCCGGAGTGCAGGAATTATCACTAGCTCCATTCTGTACTGAGGACACCACGTCTCAAGGGATTAAGAATCTACCCAAGGTCGCACAGCACAGCAGTGCCTCTGAGGGCATGCCGACACATCTTTCAGTACCAAGAGTGTGATGCTCAGCCTGAAGCGGGGTGTGTGTGTGTGTGCGTGTGTGTGTGTGTGTGTGTGTGTGTGAGAGAGAGAGAGAGAGAGAGAGAGAGAGAGAGAGAGAGAGACAACAGAAGGGAGGAGACCCTTCAGGAAAGAATCAAGCGTTCCCAGACACGGAGCCCGAAGGCCCTGAGCTATTCTGGAAGAGGCAAATACAAAGCTGGATTCAGGCTCCATCCTAGAGAGAGCAAAGCTGAAGAGTGAGCTTGAGCTAGGGGAGAGAGCAAAGCTGAAGAGCGAGCTTGAGCTAGGGCTGAGCAATGCCTTCCAGAGGCGCTTAGGCCTGCCCTGTCACAGCGGGAGCCGCTGGAAGGTGGGTGGAGGTCAGTGCCCTGTGCACGGGTGGAAGAATGTGCCTTCTCATTCCTGGTAAGGGTTCGGTGGCAGCCGTGGTAATCTAGACGTGCTTGGGATCCTATGGTGGTTAACTAAAGCTCGCTCCCTAGTTCTTAGAAATACCGTGTAACATTGTGAAGACCAACAATGGCTTCCGTATCTCAGCTGCTTCCTGTTACCTCCTCCTTTATTCCCACACCAGAAGGAAGGGTGCCATGACTTCTAGACCAGAGGATGCTGTGCTGCCTCCTTGGGTCTCATCCCACTGAGTGAACACTGACATCACGTCCACGCCTATCTCAGTGCGTGTCATCATGTTGGAAGGGGGATTTGTTGTGTTTTATTTATTTATTTTAAAAGTTTTTTTTTGTTACATGTAAGTGTTTGTGTTTATATGTGTGTGTGTGCCTGTGTGTGTGTGTGTGTAAGTGCATGTATGAGTGCTGTGGCACACGTGTGGAGGTCAGAGGACAGCTTGCAGGAGCTGGTTCTCTCCTACCACGAGGGTCCCAGGGATCCCACTCAGATTGTCACGCTTGGCAGCAAGTGGCTTCACTCACTGAGCCAGCTTGACAACTCCTTAAGTGTAAATTAAATTACTAAGGAATCACGCTGTATTTATAAAACAAATAATTATTGGATGCCTGATTGCGCCTTTGGGGAAAGTAAATCAAGAAGGCTGGGATGGGCTGCCTGGTTGAAACTATCAGAATATTGCACTTAGGATGTGTAAGTTAGTTTAAATCAAGTCCATTGTGCCTGGAGAACTGAGAGTGTCTCAGACGAGAAAAGGAAGAACTGTTCGTTTTCAACAACTTCCCACTAGATTTCTGTCTCTTCACTCTCAAGGGGTACACCAAACCATGGCTGTGTTAGTCATGACCCTGTCACAGCAACAGCCTGGGGCAGCTCACCACCACTGTGCTGGCTTCCCAGAGACCCTGACGTACACTCTGACCCCTGCACTTAAGAGCAAGAGCCTTTACACCATGAGTGGAAAGAAGCTCAGTGCTTCTTTTCCCGGAATCATAAGGCGTGTGTTTAACTGCAATGTGTTTCCGAAATCTCCATGGGTTGCTTTTATCTGCCTGAATATTATATTCCAAGAAGTCATTCATGGGTCTATCTAGATCACCAAAAGAGACCACAGTACAAACAGTGGTTCAGAATCTGCTGGAAATGACCAGGGAATGTGGCTCAGTCGGCAGAGTGCTAACCCAGCGTGCACTAAGTGTCGGGTTCAGTCCCTAGCACCTTGCAAACCTGGCATGGCGGTGCATGCATGCAGCCCCCAAAAAGACGAAGGAGAAGTCTTGACCACCAGCTTCCAGGCTGTTCTTAGAACCGTGCAGGAAGAGGCTGCACCCTGTCCCCACAGTGCCACAGTGCCTGCATTTGTTTCCAGACTTCCTGGTACCAGGGTACTGCTCTAAGAACGCCGTCTGTGTTTAAAACCTTGTCTTCTTGTGTTTTGGCCTTCCAGACTACTCAATTATAGATCTGTTTTTCCAGAAAGAGATCAGATTTAACAAACAAAAATAAGAGACCACCGTGCTATCTACATTTCTATACACAGCACATATATATGCATTTTAGATCAAGAGTGAATCATTTTTAGAATATATATATATAATAATATAATAATAAATTATTAAATTTTGCCAGTTATAATGAAACATATTTGCTATCCATCTGAAATTCAAATTTGACTGAGCATCTTGTATCGTATCTGGAACCCTAAAATGACCAAAGCTGAGCTAATCGAGACCAGACGGCTCCGTGGTTTGTGTCTCCCTATTTACTGCCGGAGGCTAGTTAACTGCCAGGGGGCCAAGGCTTTGATTGAACTCGAAGGCATTTTGAAATTAGAAAACACCCCTGTCACTCAGAGATGACACGTGACCACTCAAGAAGCAAACCACTCGGACAAGGCCTGGTTCTTGAAGTACATGGTCCCCCACGTTAGGCTGTGGGTGTGCACCGTCCCCCTGACACCAAAGAGCTCCAGTTTCCATATCACAGACATGTGGTCAAAGCACGGACCACGAGTGAGGCGGGATTGTGAAACACTTTGACACGGGTCCCGCTGTTAAATAGCTTGGTTCCAAACCAAGCAAGAGTCAGCCATTTCCTTTGTCTGGAGTACGATTCCCACTAGGATAATAACAAGCAGGAAGATCAACAAGGGGAGGAAACTAGCCCCAGTGGCAGGTGAATCACGCCGAAATCCATCCGTCACCATGTAATCACTGACATCACAATTCCTTTTTTTTTTTTTTTTTTTTTTAAAGAAAAAGTATTGTAAGGCCAGAGGACAAGACACTGCATTTACAGGATGCTTCTTATGTCTCTATGTCTTTGTCACCTCAAAGTAAAATAGATGTATTTGGGTAGTAAAAGGTTCACGAGGGAGGTTTATTGAGGGGAAATCAATTTGAAGTGTTGTAAATTATAGAAGGACAAACAGTAAGAAGACAGCGCCTCCCTCTCAAGCACCTTCCTGAGTCATAGGAAGACAGGAAAGTCACCCCTTGCCTGTGTCTCACTTGCTGGCTTCATTCCAGCAAGGTCTGGCTGCACCCAGTTTGCAGTTTCACAAAGTAAAGCACATGATATAAAACAGTCGTTCCCCTACAGGGCTGTGTGAAAAGGCAGTCTTCCTCTCTGCCTTCCTCCACACCAGCCAGACACCCCCCACGGCTCGGCCTCTCTTCTTGTCTCACCGAACAGAATAGTGGGAATCCATCTTCCCTGTGTCTGACCTCATCTAGACACTGCTGTGAGTGAGGCTGAGTTAGCCTCTCGGAGAAACACAGTTCCCGAAGGTGAACACTTTTAGTGGAGTGTCTGGGGAAGGGAACACAACACCATTTGCCTCCCCTCTTCCCTCCCCAGACACAAATCCTCCTGTTTCACCTCACAACAATGCATGTCCAAGCCACGCTGTGATTAAAGGGAGAACACGCTTATTACCCACGTTCTTCACATGTTGGAGCAAGCGAGATTGAGGGCGGGAAACCAAAGGAAATTTCCACTTGTCCTGAGCCTCGGCACGCTCTCGGTCTATAAGAAAGTTATGAGGGAAGAATGTAACAGCAGACAGATGTATAATGTTTTGTTTGGGTTAGCGAGCTCTCCTGCAAATAAAGAGCCTGAAATTAAACTGTCTTTGCAAATGACAGCTCTGACTTATACTACTGCTCAGCTTCCTGCCATGGAAAATGGAAAATGAGTCTCTGCTGGGCCTGGCATCCGTTTAGACTTGTCCTTGCTTCGGAGAGAAAAGGTTGATGGTCTGTGGAATGAAAAAAGTTAGAAGTAACCTGCATTGAGGAATAAGGCTGAAACTATGCAAACCACAGTTAAGGGTGGAAATGGAGTTTTATTTTTAGTGCTTATGGAATTTAAAAGAATAATAGTAGAACAGAGACATGAGAAGGCTAAACATTTGAACACAGAGGCAAAGGGGTTCCTGACAGGGACACATGGGGATTAGTCATTGACGGAGCACAGGCTGTTTTCCCTGTGTGTGACATGGGTAAAGGATAAACCTCTCCGAGTCACCCAGCCACCCTTGCAATTTTGGGGGGAAACCGAGTTTCTCTTAAGCCTCAGTTCTTGGAAAGCATCTCCAAACATTTGGGCTTTCTAGCTCAGGGGTGGGACCCACGATCCTGCACTTCCAATGAGCTCCCCATGGGAGGCTGAGGCTGCAGCTGAGGAGAGCCTTCTCTCCAAGCTCTGGCGAGGCGGATAGCTCACCTCAAGACATGTCAGCGCGACATCTGCTCTCGGGAATGCTCGGGAAGCACAAGCGTGTGCCAGCCCTCAGCCGTTAGTTGCTGGGTGAGGATTTTCAGCAAATCACATGCACTCCTGGATGTTCTTTCCTATCTGTTCGGTGTAGACGAGACCGCATTCCCCAGGGTGCTTCCGGAGGCCAGATCTGCGCTGGACGCTTCTGCCCGGGGGTGTCGTGAGTGACTCCCAAGCACACTCCTTGTGGCACGGAAAAGAATGCTTAGCCCCACAGTGGCAGAGCCGGAAGGGCGTGGAGGTGAGCCTTCTCTACATGATTCGGTAGCTTTCTTGACTTCAGGGCTCGCATTAGCCTGGCCTTACCCAGCAAAACACCTCCTAAGGCCTGAATGCTGCCCTGCCTGTGCCACACCTGACCAAACGGCACCTCTGGCCCAGCATGCCTGTAGGTCACCTATCTCTGCAGGACAGGCCTCTGGAGTTCTTAGTCATCTTGGTGCCTGCACATGGAAGGCACTGGGAGTCCTTCTCAGTTGAGTGTGCCCTCACCAACCCTCTCAGGCTCTGTCACTCTTGTTGCTTATTTGCTAAGAGAGCCCACTTAAGCCTCTGTTCTCTGGGAACATGTCCAGGACAACTGTAACTTCTGGACAGTCACATGTGGTGCGGTGAACCCTGTCAGCTTCCTGCTACTCCTAACCATGTGTTCTTTTCCCTATTCCTTGTGACGAGTGTGTACGCCCTGTTCTCCAAGTGTGACCTCAAGATAAGCACTGGCACCACCTGGGTGCTTAGACCTTTGTGTTTGCTTTCAGACAGCCCTTGGCCCTACCAGCTGGGGGCGGGGCTGGCAACCCTGCCCTCTACCCAGGGGCAGGGCTTCCCCTCCCCCAGAGTGTATAATCTCCCTTCAGTATGTAATCTACACCTTTGGTTCCTCAGGGCTTCTCTCTCTTCTGCTCTCCTCTCTCTCTGTGTCTCTTCTCTTCTCTTCCTCTCTCTTCTCTTTCTGCTCCCTCCCTTCTCCTCCTCCCTCCTGCCCTGCTCTGGATAAACCTGCATCTATATAACATAACTTTGTCTGGCCATTAGCTCCATTTTATTTCTATCTTTGGATGCTGTGGCTCCACACAAGCCAGACTCCTTCCTCCAGACCCTTCACAGACACATGCTTATAGTCTTCATCACCTGGAATACAGGAATCACACTAGTATCTAGTTAAGAGTCTACGTGAGAGTGAGGCATGGGCCTACACAGGCCTGGCAGGGGTAAGCGATGCATTGGAGGTAGCTATTGACCCATGGGTGAAGTCCAGCAGTGAGTTTCATCCCAGCGGCCGAGAGAGGAGAGCTGTCGCCATGCTGGCGTGATGATGTTGTCGCTAGGATGCCAGGGCCAGGGGCTAACAAAGGCCAGTGCCAGGGGCTGGCAGAGGCCAACAGCATGGGCTGGAAGACCTGGTTCTCTGGCCAACATCTTCTAACTGGGTTTGCATATCTGCACAAGTTATTTAATCTCTCTCATCTTAAACTCCTCATTTAGAAAATAGATTGTTGTTTTCTTCAGCTGGTAATCTCTAGGATGGAATAAAAATTGATGTTCCTTTGGAATGTCCCCCTTCTGAAACCAAAGCTGTCAGTGGCATAGAGATAAGGGCCCAGGACACTTAGTATGTCTGTGATATCACAGACCACCAAGCCAAAGGGAGGCTGGAGGGATGGGCCATCCATGCGCTGGACTCTGTGCCTGGCACCTAAGTGCTGACTTTGAAATAACTCAGTAAGAAGCAGCCCCTTCCCGAGGCCATACAGTTGCTCTGCTGTGGTCCAGCTCTGGCATCTTTTTCCTCTTCTCCCTCACCCAGAATAAAGAGCAAAGCAGCTGAAGAACAGCCCAGGGGCTGCATGAGCCCAGCGCCTCTGCTCCACTGTGGTGAGCCACTCACGGTTCATTGTGAGGAACAGTCACATGACCTCCCAACACAGGAAGCAGAAACGCTCCCGGCCCAAAGGGTCAGGCCTAGGTAAGGATCCAATACAGATCCAGCAGAACCATACAGGAACAACTGGAATCAACAGCACACACAGTACCAAAGCCTGCCACAGCTCTACCTGCATAGGCCACTGACTCAGGAAACCCGCTGTGAACCAGCTGTGCACGGCAAAGCCACTGTGTCCTAGCCTGTGTTGGTAAAGTTAAGAATGAGGTTTAGAACTTAGCCAGACTTTGAAGAGAATGGTAGATGCCTTTGAAGAGAAGAGAAAACTTTGGTACAAGGCCTCCTAGAGTATGTCTGTGTGGCCCGTCACAGGGTCCAAAGGACAGCAAGCATGGCTGGCTTTATTTTCAATTACCCTGAAATCCTCTGAGCTCAGTGAACCCTGAACAAATTCTTGTTAAGCACTTTTTCCTACTTAATATTTAATCCCATGTATACTTAACATGAAATTTAATCTAGGTAATCTTTGGGTTTGTAGGTCATCAAAAAAATCAGTGTGTCAGAAATAGCTGGTGCCTAAGAAGCTTTTCCAGCAACTTTTCATATCAACAAGAGGCTGCATCTTGTCAGACTGTAAGTCGGGCCCTTTGTACGTTGTTAGCCCAGAAAAGCAAAGTGCGAACTGACTCGGGTTTTCTTCCTTGGCACTCCCGTTCCTTTGAGAGTAGGTGGAATGAGGACGCTAGAGACCTGGTGAAAAGCAGGACATTCCCGGAAAGGGAAAGCTGTGTCTCCTTTCTTCTGCTGTACGCCCACCTTGTCTGTCTGCCACGGGACCCAGCACGACCTTATCCCCTTATTTCTGTGTTTTAAAACACAGAAAACCTACAAAATTCAATAAAAAGATAATTTCGAGCTTTTAGCAAATCCCAAAGCTATGCTAACCAGGAGGGAGAAAGTGATTTCTAAATGAATCTAGTTTTCTTAAGAAAGTATCTGTGGCAGGTAGAAGATCCTATTTTTGAGAATTAGAAAAAAGGTATTGGGTAAAGAGGAGTGGGCTAGCAACAATGATGGGTGAATTTTGTTGTGAGACTTAAAAATATCTCTGTACTTACTGTTTGCTAGAATTATTTATATTATATTAAAATACATATTTAATACAAAATATAAATAACATTTATACAATTAGTGTAAGTTACTCTTAGCTGGAGTTATTTGTACTGCACAAATATATATATATGCATATAATACATGCTTAATATAAATTGTATAACATTCGTGTAGATGGTATATATTTGATAATATATAATATACATGCACTCTATAACCTATACTACATACAAATAAATACCTTCAAAATAAATAGTATGTCACAGTTTTGACTAGAATCTCTCTGTATTTCTGTTTTGAAAAGCCTTGTCGCTGGCTCTGGGCAGGTGGAATTTCATGTACAAGGATAGGGGAGTCAGGTATGAACCAACACGCAGGTGCATTCAACACCCGGGCAGCGGGGTTCCTGGGATGCCGAGAGCAGCGAATCACAGCACGGTGCAAACGGCACGTGCCCTCCCCAACAGTGTCATGTGGGGTCCCGTCCGTCACAGCATGGTGCAAACAGTGTGTGCCCTGGAGCAGCAGGGTCACGTGGGACCCCACTAGCCATCCACGTTGTCCGGCTTCAAGTCCAGAGCACCCTGTCTGTAAACCCTGTGGCTCAAGCAGGGCAGTGCAGGAGGGTCGGCGTTGGGAGCTTGAACGGCCACTTCGCTAGACCTCTCCGTGCCCAGGAATCCTCCTGCGAGGACAAACGGCTGTGCTCACCCTGCAGTGGCGCACAGTGAGGGGCCTGCATGGAAAGCCCACGCTGAGGCCTGGCTGCCAAGCCATGAGGACCCCACCCGCACCCCTCTGAGCCACGCCCGGATCCTTACCCGGATTTTCTCACTTGGATGCTCCCGGCTCTGTTCCTGCCTGCTATCCCCTCTAGGTCTGCTAACAGGCCTGCAGGTCTCTGGTCACTCACCGGTGTTTCCTTCAGCAGAGAATAGCCCAGGTTGCTCTGCTGCTTGGCCCAGATCCTCCAGCCGCACCTCTCAGTTTGATTTTTCTTCCCTGAAGACAGGGTGGCTGCTCTCTCTTTGGTCCCCGCCTGGTTCCCAGTGCTACCTGCTCTCCACAGCCAAGTTCCCTCTGCCCTGTGCCTGCTGTTCAGGTTCATTCCCAAGTGGACTTTCCTTTCCTGTATCCTCAGAAAACAAATGGTATACAGCAGAAGAAACGCTAAATGAATTGATGCCCTGTGTCGCTCTTGGCTAGGAGTAGGGAAGGGCAATCCTGAGCCCTCTATTCAATAGTTTACAGGACCTCAGTGATGGTATCACAGTTCTGAGAATTGTAATCTAAGCCAGTAAGCATTGACAGCATAAAAAGCCTGGGAAACTGGATGTTATTCCTAGAGGCTAACGCTATGTATGGGTTTAATGGAATATTGTCTATCTGGGACAATGCCCTTTTCTCAGCCCACTCATAGTTAGTGTATGGAAAATTACAGCGTCTCTTAATATTCTAGAAGATAAGCCATGTGGATTGCAGAGCCACTGAGGAAAAACAAAACCAAAGACAAAAACATAAAGACATGTAACAGCGCAAAAAGCACAGTTCTTTTTCAAATGGTGTGGTTTTGCTTAGTGTGTATGTGTGAGTTTATGTGTGTATCACTATGGATGCAGTGCCCATGGAGGCCAGAAGAGGGGGCCCAAGCCCCCAAAACTGGAGTTACAGATGGCTGTGATCTGCTAGTGGGTGCTGGGGCCTGAACTTGGGTCTCTGCAGTAGCAGCAGCCACTCTTACCCACTGAGCCATCTCCCCAGCCCCCACGAAGTGTGCTTCTTGAAAGAAGGGCTCTGGAGACCAACTAGAGTAAATGAGGAGTATACTGTGACATGCAAACTCCAATGAAGCAAACAGCTGAGCTGATGTGTGCAAGGCAGGTTGCTGGTCTCAGAGCAATGAGCACAGGGCCCTCTGTCCTCCAGCCACGCACTGGGCACACTGACACCTGGTGAGCGGGACAGGGAGCTGGTAGGAGGGACTGTGTCAATAGAAACCAGTAAGTGCTGTAGACACAGGACTGGCCAGCAACAGGCAGCACGTGAACTGAGGGGACTGATAGGAAGGGGTCAAGGTCAACAGAAGAATCCACAGGCGGGTGGATATCGGAGGAACATGGGTAGAGCCAGACAATGCATGCTATGCAGATAAACAGCAGATTACTGGGTTATTTGGTAGAAGCTATAGAGATGACGCAGAGATGAAGATAGTGGGTAAAGGGTAGAAAGGTGATAGGTGATTGATGACTGATTGATAAATCACACACACACACACACACACACACACACACACACACACACACACACACACACACA